GCACTACTTCAAATTAAAAGCCTATAAGGTTGCTAAAATTAGCTCCACGTTTTCCAGCTGTAACATTATACCTGATGTGCACAACAACGCATCAGTAAGTATAATCCAGTGTGATATACATTAATGTGACATGCACTCATTCTGCATAATGGGTATATTTGCTTTTTGCTACTTCAAGTATATTTTGATGCTAATACTTCACTACTTTTACTTTAAACAGAGTATTTTTGCACTGTGATATTTCAACTTTTACCCAAGTAAACAATCTGAGCACTTCTTCCACCTCTGCCGTAACCAACACACACGGACGGAGCGCGGGCACGGCCATGTACCATACAGTATGTGCGACTGTTGGCTTGCTTACACTCAGTTTAGGCCTCGATTTGACAGGTGCACACTTCAACTGCGTGCAACACGGTGCACTACGAGTTGTTACCAATTGCCTGAATTCGGTCGGTAGACAGAGTTATTGTACTGTCACTTACAAATAACCTGTACTCTTACCCCTTTCAGTCGCTTGATGAGCATGTTTTTCGGTCCGCTTTTTGGGAGGTTCCTTTTCTCCAGAGCAGCTTTCAAATCGGCGACTCGGAGCGAATGTAAAGGTTTTCCATCAAGCGTAATATCTTCGTCCGCCATTTTGATCCCTCAGCTTGTCTAAACTCCGCTACGTCGCTACGGCTGGCGCTCCTGCGGCTGCTGCTCGGCGTCACAACTCGGCTGTTTCCGGAAGCGCTCGGTTTGTCCGAATCACGGTACAGTAACTGTGTGGAAAAACAGGCAAACTCTGTCCCAGTGTACTCTTACTTTTCAGAGTTTAAGACAGAGAGATCCCGCTACAGTCGTTTTATTCAGACTTTCACTAGTCTACGTAAAAGTACGAACTCCGGAGCAGAAAATGCACCAATTATTTCAGACACGACAAACAAATGTCTAGGAAATACAGTAACATATTTGGCAATTATGCAATTAATAATACAAACGTTGTTTTATTTGCAAAAGATGTATTTGTGCATTCTGAACAGGAAAACAAGACAGACATCAAATGTAGTGTTAAAAATAAAGAGGTATAGGTCTGCATTACTGCCAAAGATTCAATTAGGTACTTCAACATATACGAATAACAATGAGTTCAAATAGTGTAAAAATGTTTTGTACAAAAGAAATGCAGCTCTATTTTTAACCAGTAACTTGATATTGGCTATTTTTATGTTGAAAATCACATAGTAAAATCACCCTGGTGAAGGGTGTGCATATATAAAATTTAAGCAAATTAAAGCCATGCAAACTGGAAAGCTGAGAACACAAAACTGACAATAATAAATACATAACTAAAGGTTATTGGTAGATCATGCTCTCTTCTTACATACAGTCCAAAGCTAGTTTAGGCAGGGAGGTATTCATACTTCAAACCTCCACAAGGTGGCTCTGCAGCAGAGAAAACAGCAGCCACACTGGAAAACATTATGAAATCCCCTAAAGATACTGCTTTAGATGTGAAAAATAAAGTTGAATATCTGCTTAAGTAATGTGATTTATGATACAGAAGATGGATCCTAAAACATTTATGTTTTATAATCTAACACTGTGGAGCACCCCAAAGATGAACCTGGCCGTGTGTTTACACAGTTCAGCTTTGTAGTGTTAATGTTTCACCGGACTGAACATGTTTTTGATTCCTCTCCCACATATCTCCTAACAGGGTTGTGGACTTGTCAAATCAGTTGTAAGCACCGTTGATCTGCATCATTTTGGAAATGAAAATAAAAAGCAAAGGAAGTCCAAGAAGCATAACCATGCAGATCATAACAAGACATGTGGAGACAAGTGAACTTGGTCAACAGGTTCTTATCCACTGCCAGACTAACACATCACTGTGAGAAAGAACTGGATTGGGCAATTTCTCACCAAGCTATCATTATTCACTCTTAGATATTATTTCTCTGTCAGACAGGGCTTTCATTTTTCTTCATGAGATGCAGAAGACTGAAAATGAAGAACGCACTGAGACATGTTTCTCAAGTTGTACTACAGATAATCTCTTCTTGCAAGTGGGAATGGCTACTATACAAAGACAACCTATATCTGCACAGACTACAGATGGAAGCCAGGCAAATTTTCTACTCCACATCTCCCAAATGAAGTCCAAAATACCTTTTGAGCTTGTTCAGCAGCCTCAAAACCATGATCACAAAAGGCTTTTCAGGTGTCACAGTAAGAAGTAGGCCAGCACCAGGATGTAAAGCCTCCTTCTGTGCTATTTTTGCAGTAGAGGGGATGGCTAAATAAGCAGAGGAAGGAAGCAAAAATGGCTATCATAGGGAAAGGAAATAGGCAAGCATAATAAAGCAAAGCCCCCAAGACACACAGCACACACAGATACTCACACAGCCAGAGAGGGGCTTTCAAATATTCAATAAGTTAACACTCAAAAAGACGAGTGTGCCTGGCACCAAAGCACAGAGGTCAGTATATAAACAAAGGCAAATCAACACACACTTGGAGGATAGAACAGTCAAAAACCCAGCTTAGTGCCAGCTGCAGCGATAAAACGCACTCCAGAGTATCACTTGCTTCAACTCTGTTCACACCAAAGGTAACAAAACAGTCCAACAACAAATAAGGCATTTCAAAGAGAGAAGTGTGTAGTGTAAAAAAGGTTTTACACAAGTGATATAAAATATCATGAGGATATCTCTGCCAGACGCTGGAGCAGAGTGGAGAAGCCAGCCGCTTGCTGGGAGAGCTCAGCAACGCGGTCCACCATCTCCTGGGAGGCGGATACTGAGGGGTAGTTTTGTGCAGCACTCTTTGTTGCCACAACAACTGCCTTCAAGGCCTGGCAGAGTCGTCCCCCCGAGGTTGTGATCTGAAGTAGGGAAAAGAAATTTTTCAACTTTGGTATAAATGGGGGGAAAAAAAAGGTATTGCCCATGAAGACAAAGGCATCAAGAAAACATTTAGCGTCTTCATTAGGAAAGTATTACAGAACATAACCTTTGTTTATCATTTCACATTTCCAACTCAAGATTGTAGCTGTATCTCCTGTTTTCACTCATACATCCTGAAAACATTTGCTCCACAAACCTTGGCCCGGAGGTCAGCAGAGGTGAGAAGGCGGGAGAGCGTGTCGCCAATGAACACAAGCTTGTGTGCCGTCACAATGAGACTCTTCCCTCTGGCGACGAAGATGCGGGGCGGCTGGTTCCCCTGCACGCTGCTGAAAAGCACATCGATGGCGTCTGCCAGGCAGGACAGGTGGGCGAGGCTCTGAGAGGAGTAAAAGGACAGCAGCTCCGAGTCCTCCAGGGAGAGGGACACCGGCAGAGGAGGGGATGGGGTCAACTGCACAGGAAAAGATGAAACTGGTATTCGCAAGGCACTAAATGTATCATCTTTAGAAAATCAGATGGTTAATTACACTACATTTAGAACTGCAACAATTAGTTAATTGACAGTTAAGTGATAAAAATAATCAACTATTCTGGTAATTAAAAAAAAACAAAACAGTAAGCATAAGTGGAAGACATTTGCTGCTTTTATCTTCTCATACATCAGGATTTGATGCTTTTCTTTGTCCTACATTACAGTAAACTGAACATGTTTGGGTTCTGCACTGTTGGTCAGACAACACAAGATGCCAGGTGTACAACTGTGTTATTGTAGTGCAGGGCATGCAGTCAACTGTCTTAACCAAGACTGCCAAGAGTTTAATCCTGAATTGTAAATCACAGAAACACAGACACGCACTTGCATAAAATACACAAGCAAGTGGCAAAACTGAAAGAACGACTGTGCTTCTCAGCCACTTATTGTCCTGTAGCCTCCATTCGATGTAAGGGAAGATTGTTTAGGTTTACAAGTGATCTCTTGTTGGTTGCCTATTGCATAACCAAGGAATCTAGCATGGACCAGAAAAAAATGCAGACTGAGTGATAAAAGATATGGCCTTAGTCTGAATAGAAGACAAGTCAATCTGCATGCAGTGATGTATCAGCGTCAGATATCCACATGGTGGATTGTGACAAAGTTCAGTAACGCTGAGTAAATATGGTGACTGCAGAGCAGAGCGTCAGGAGCCAAAGAGCTGCTGCAGGCTGGATTGAGTCATAGCACTCATTAGTAAACAGCAAACTGAACACAGAGTGAATCAATGACCTATCTGTGTGGACTTGCGGTGTATGTTTCTGTACTGCAAAACCATTTATAAGAATAACAGCCTGTATAGTGCTGGAGCTAAGGATAATGTATGTGGAGGCAAAAATACAGAAACTCACCCGTGGCTCTACAGTGATGGTTTGTCCATTCTCAACTGGGGCATCAGGAAGAGGTTCAGGTTTACCCTAGTGTAGGGGATGCGAGAACAGACATGTTAACAAATATGGTCAGGCTGTTTAGTGACCACAAACACAAAATTATCTTTGACAAATGACAGGTATGAATGGTTACAGGAAAAGGTACAGATACACTAAAGACCAAAACCAAAACCAGAAAAGACAAAATCAAGAATCAAGATCAAAATAAACATGGACTTGAATAACTAAGACCCGAGTAAACATGACAACCACTTGCAACAAGCATCAAAAAGTGCAAACATCTATTTTTTCCATGCAGCCGTTGTATAGCAAAAATAGTTGTTTAATCACAAAAACTGACCTGCAGCTTGACATATCCAACGCTGTCTCCAGAAGTTACTGGGGCTGGGATGGGGGTCAAGCTGATCCCAGCATACTCATTGCTGGGGTCGTCTTCTCCATCAACCGGGCCCACGGCAAGGGTCACAGTGGATGGAGTGGGAGGCAAGGGGAAGGCAGGCTGAGGTGTTGGGGGCAGGGGCCTCTCCTGGATCCAGCTACTCTTACGGGAGCCCATCCCACCGCCAGATGACTTCCCATCAGGCACTGGGAGTGCAGGCAATGGCCTGCGTGATAGGGATTCTTGGGAAGGCAGACGAGGTCGGCCCTGAGCCTGCAAGAGGTGGGCGCTTTCCTCAAGGGACCGCTGGACCAGCGACAAGAGCCCTTCAGATGGAGGGGCACTGCCGATAGCAGATAATGCTGGGAGCAGTTCTGACAGACGAGCCCAGGCCTGCTGAAGAGGTGGTGGAGGATCACCTGTATGACTGGCTTTCCAGGTGGATAAGATTTCAGCCAATGAGGTGGCCAGGTCCCGCGATGACAGAGTGGAGGCCGAGCAGGACGCTGTGCTCAGCACCGACTGGACAAGGCTGGAAAGAGAGGCTCTCCACTGCACATCTCCTGATCCATTACTAGAAACGGAGAGGCGGCGAGTAGAGGAGGATGAGGATGAGGATGAGTGTGGGAGGACTTCGATGGTCAGAGCAGGCATGTCATAGATGCCACATTCAGGCTCAGAGGAGTCTTGATTATGATCTCCACCATTGCTTCGTTTTTCAGGTGCAGGGACACAGCAGACTTGTCCAACCTGGGCAACGCTGTCACCAGAGAGGCTGGAGGTGGACTCGCCTAGTCCCAGAGGAACACCTGGAAGTGTAGGGACACTGTAGACTTCGTCTTCAGCCTCAACAGGCTGGGCATCTGATGCAGACACACTGAGAGTGATGGTAGGGACATCATAGACCTACAAGGGGAAGGGAGAAGCCAAGGAATGTTTTGAAATTGTGTGCATTATTTACTGTAAATACTGTATGTACACACAGTCTGTAACAATAAAATGAGCCACTATCAGTTTAAAAGACTTTGATTGCCCAGTTCACGAGGAAATTCAGAGTGACACTGGTAAAGTAAAACTACCAGAAACCTCTAAGTAAATACAATAAAGAATCACTGACCATCAAAGGGAAGAGACACATTTGTACCCTTTAACATTAAATCGTGAAAGCAGTGATTCTGCAAACCACATACAGCAATTTCAGGCAAAGAGGGGGAAAAAAAAATAATCTAACAGCTGACAGACATGTTCAAGTAACAGTCAAGGGGAGATCACTGAAGTAGGCTGGTAGTGGTGGTATGGCCCTGACAGATGGGTGTGACTGGGAGAAAATAGAAGCTGCATTTGGACTGGACAGACAGGCTTCTAACAGCAGACAGAGACAGGTGTGGCCTCATTCTAAAGGGGGGTAGGGAGACACACTAATAGTGGAATGTGGGAAGAAATTGTAACAAGTCATTTGATAGCTAACTCATCTGAACTGCTTCACTTGTACAGACATGAATTCAGTGCACAAGTTCCCAGCCATTTCTTGGCTACCCTAAAAATATAGAACAAGATGAATGAAAAAGAGCAATTCTACACATTAAAACCAAAGGGAAACAGCACTGATGAAAGAGTAATTCCTGCACAGCAAGTCCAAATCAAAGCTTTTATTTAGGCAGACATTCGGATGCCAAATGAATATTCATCAGGTCAAAACCACCAGAGGATTGCAACAAAACACAAATTTAACTAAATGTATACACATTATAGTTCACACAGTTCCAAATACTGTATAAAGCTGATCTTTAATAAACAGTATTTACACAATATAAATCATTGTTTTGACTCTGAAGTGTGAGCGGAGGTTAAACAGGACATGACAGATGTGAACGGGAATTCTCTTCTTGATTTGATTTGATTTGATTTATTCTTTCAAGCATGTAAAGACAGTTGATATGTCAACACATAATTTTACACATATCCAACAAATGCTAATCCAATATCAATTTGCTTATACCTAGTACATGCTTGAATGGAGAAGGAAGAAGTCAGACTTATCCTTAGTCCTACCCCATGACATCATCTTAACATCATTGGTTTGCAAGCAGTATCTCTAAATAATTAATTCTCTTCTACACCACACAAGTAATATACTAAAGAATTATTACAAAGTGTTAACATTCATACACCACACCCACAATGTTCCATGTAATTAATCATTGAGCCTGTTCTTGCATATATCTTGATTGACACATACCTTTATATTTATGTTTAAACTCGTCAATTCTATTACTATTTTTTATGTCCACACTTAAATTATTCCATAGTTTTACCCCACTTATGGAAATACAGAATCTTTTTTTTGGTTGTACGTATAGCATGAATTTT